TGTCGCCCTCTCTCTCTGCCCCTCCCCCACTCATGCTCTGTCTCTCTCTGTCTCAAAAATAAATAAACGTTAAAAAAAATTAAAAAAAAATAATTTGGCTATTGTTGAGAGTGCTGCTATAAACATTGGGGTACAAGTGCCCCTATGCATCAGTACTCCTGTATCCCTTGGGTAAATTCCTAGCAGTGCTACTGCTGGGTCATAGAGTATGTCTATTTTTAATTTTTTGAGGAACCTCCACCCTGTTCTCCAGAGTGGCTGCACCAGTTTGCATTCCCACCAACAGTGCAAGAGGGTTCCCGTTTCTCCACATCCTCTCCAGCATCTATAGTCTCCTGATTTGTTCATTTTGGCCACTCTGACTGGCGTGAGGTGATATCTGAGTGTGGTAAAACACACATTTTAAGAAGCGTTGCTTCTAACCAAGAGAAGAGTCAAGGACTAGCTAAGAGAGAAGCACTGTGGTGTCCACATTTCCTGAACACAAATCATGACTTGGTCTGGCAAGTGATTTATAAGTTCTTTTTGGGTGTTTGGGCCAAAAGGTTGGCAACCTAGGGACATTTCAACTTCTTATGATTGCATGAGATGGAATATCTGAAATTAGGACTTGTACTGAAACATCTAAGAGTACTTACCCTTTCTGCAGAGCAGAAACAGGTTCAAGATCCTTTATGTAGACAGCAAAATGCATTCACTAGATTTGGCCAATGGGCTCTAACAAAGCAACTGAGTTCAATCATAGGAAACATTACTGGTAACTGATGACAAAGTCCCAGGAGCCATCACACAGCCAGAATCCTCAACATGGAGCCTTAGGAACCACTCTCCTTCTCCTCCCATGCTGCCATTTGGGTTCAGCCATGGATCACAAAAGGGAATTTCTGAACTCAGAATACGCCCTCAATCCTTCTGGGCCACCTGTCATGTAAAGATTTCAAACCTCTACAGAAGCAGATAAGCTATGACTGCATTTTATAAAGCAGAAACTGAGCAGAAAGAAGGCCAAGTATTTCTCAAATGTTAACCACTGATACAGAATAAAAAGTTAGCCAGTCTCCCAGACTTGCAAATCACAGCTACCCTCCATCTATGACTGTCTCCCCAGGAACAGTTCTAAGACCCAGCTCCTCAATGCCACCTGAGCGGCTGTTAATAAGGGTGAAGTCTCCTTCTTGAACATGCATCTGGTCCTTGATCCGGTCACAGCTCTAAAGCCTCTACTTAGCTAGAATGTCAGCAGTAAAGGGAAGTAACTTCAAGAAGAAAATGATCACCTCGACACTATCACACCTTATATTATAATGATATTTAATTATAATTTAATTTATAATGACCAAATAGAAAGGTCTACCATATACCAAAACATAAAACAGCCCACAGAACACGCTCCTGAAGGGGTAATAATTTATAAACTTGCAATAGAGTTTTTGCAGTGTGATGACATCTAATCATGTCCACCTGAGTTGTTGGGAGATTCCAATGGTTTAGCCAAAAGATAACACAGGGTCTCCTAATTTGGAATGCATTTAAAGAGCAAACAGGAGGTATCTCTTCTCAGACTGGCAGGTTCATCACAGGTTCTCCCCTGAGCTGACCTGTGGCCAAATGTTAGCACTTTAATACATTTAACGATTCCATAATAGGGAGAACCTGTTACCTTAAATCTCTGAGGTTGGTGAAACTGAATTGTTGCCCTTTTCTGATCAAAATCTTTTCTCAGTTGAAGAAAGTGCACTTTGCCATCTTTATTTAAAACCTTCTTCTTCCCATTGACACACCGGCAGACATTTATGTCTCTTCCATAGAACATACCCCGGCTGCATAGACTCTTCAGATCTGACAGCCTGAACAGGGACCGGTAATATGTAGCCACTGCAGGGTCATCTCTCTGAATGAGAAGGGGCTTCTTCTCCCAGAATTCCCTGAAAAAAGTCTCTGTCTTGATGGGCGAGATTAAACTTTCAAACAGATCACTGGGGCTTTCAAAATTTAAAATAGAGGAGGGTCCACCAGCTGCCTCTATCTTCACCTGCTTGCAGGGAACAGACCCCTCTTCCTTCCCATTCCCTGTGGGCTTTGCTTTCTTCGGCATCGTTCTGTCTTCAAGACAAAGCAGTGACGAGGTGCACCTACCAGAGAACAAAGCACACGTGGTTAGGTTCACCAGGAGTTCTAACATTAGCAGATGGCGCACACACAACTCGTGTGACCATGCCACCTTCATGAGCACTTGTAAGTCAAAGCCCTTTCCTCCAGGATGGGATACAGCCTTAATCTAACACCACATCATCCAAGATAGGATTCAGCCTCAAACACCACTCAGATTACATATTCATCTAAGGAAAGCATTTTTTTTCTCGGGCATAGGCACTAAATCGTTAAAGTCACCGTTTGTTTGTTAGGAGGTATAATGATCCCAAATTAAATGGTTCAGCCACCTAAGCAGTTCCTAGTCACAGTTTTAGCCCGTGGCCGTTGACACAGCAGTCTAAAATCTTGACTTTGGCTTCAATCAGCACCAGGTCCCAAATCTAATTAGACGCACTCTTGAGTTACAGGCACTCGCCTCGAGAACTACCAACAGGGGCTCACAGCCAGGTGCTCCTTACCACAGCACCACCCCCAACTGTTAGGAAGGCAGCCCAGGTGCCCTGGGCCAGTGTCACCTGGTGGCTGGAACAAGAAGCTGCTGCTCCCAAGTCTTCCTCACCACATGAACCTCCGCACTTTTGATTCCCAGCTTTTTCCTGAAAACTGCTACTTTATGAGAAAACCCGCCCCCATTAAAAAAAACCAAACGAGTTCGAGACTACAAAGTAAAGGCTAAAGACAGTTATGCCCCATTTTTAAAAAGCTTTAACTTTTAAACTAAGACACAATACCAACATCACCTAGGCATCGCCTTCTAGAACTGCCTTCTGTATTTCTAACAAGCTCCCAGGTAACAATGCTTTTGCTGGTCCATGGACCACATCTGAGGAGTGACAATCCCAAGCCCTGCCAAGCCTCTCTCAGAACTGTCCCCAAACCACAACTATCGTCACACTTACAATAATGCAGGTGTTCTTCACCTGGGGTTCAAGAATGGTATTTCAAATTACATGAATTTTCAGACACTGTAAGATCCTATTTCAAACTGTGTGTCTACATCTCTCTATATAAATATTTATTTGGGTGCGGGCACATTGTGCTCACCTGATTCTTAAAGAAGGGCTAAGAACCACTGCACTTATAAAGAACGATTTTTCCCAGAGACCAATAACTTATTTATAGATATCACAGTTTTCTATTTTGTACTGCTAGCAAAATTTTAAGAACACTGTTTTCTGCCCTTTTGTTATTATAACTAAGCTGTATTTCAGCTACACTGTGGACTAAGTAGAATTAGTGGTCTGGCCTGGCAAGTAAGCACCTGGAACACTGTGTTACACATTGCAACAATTTACAAATGAACCTTTGGAATGCAACCCAAATATAAACTGAACAATTCAGGAAGTGGAAACATCAAAATATACAACTCTAGTGCCCTCATTTTAGCTGCTAAACTTGTGTACAGCTCAGATCAAGTGCCTTTGGTAGGGCACATAGGACAGAAGTGGAAAACAAGTACAAACTGATGGACGGAGGTGGAAAAAAGTACAAACTGACCCTAAAAGCTTGCACTGGAGGACTGAAGGCTTAAGCTTAGAAAAAAACAAACTTTGGTGTTGGCTATGTCACCAATGAGACATTTTCTGAAAATGTTCTGCACACCTTTCAAGCTTCCCAGCCAGTGTGATTTTTCAATTAAAGAATCAAGGCTTCCATGAACAAAAGTATTGCTAATACTTGGAACCCAGATGTGATGCAGAAATGCAAGGAGACATGAAAACACAGTAAAAAGCACAGCTCGTGCAGAAGAGTTACCAGCCATCCTTTGAAAGGCCCGACTATAGCTAAGGTCTGAGAACTCAGATTTCAGGAGCATTCCACCACCTTTAACTGATAAGAGTGACTCACTCTGCCTTAATTGTTTGCACAATGTGGTTTATAATGAACACCTGTTTTCCTTCTCGGAGTCTGGAATTTTGGTAGGTGCCAGGCAGAGGGTGCCTATGTGGTCAGTCCCCAGTAAAAACCCTCAGTTCTGAGTGTCTGATGAGCTTCTCTGGCTGGCAACATTTCACACGGGTTGTCACAACTAGTTGCTGGGCCAATTAAGCACCTGGTCTTTTGCTATAATAAATCAGCTGTGAGTCCTAGTAAATCACTGAACCAAGGGATGGTCTTAGAGATCCCCCCAACACATTGCTCACTATTTTTAAAAAGTGTTAAATCGGGGGCACCTGGGTGGCTCAGTTGGTTAAGCATCTGACTTCAGCTCAGGTCATGATTTGCTAATGAGTTCGAACCCAGCATCGAGCTCTGTGCTGTCAGCATGGAGCCCGCTTAGGATCCTCTTTCCCCCAACTCTGCCCCTCCCCTGCTTGCACTCACTCTCTCTCTCTCAAAAATAAGTAACCATTAAAAAAAGTGTTAAATTGGTTCAGAAGGTTTGTTACCATTAAGGTACCCTATAATGAAAACATAATTTCATATTCAGCCACACATCTCTTATCTCTCACAATTGGTCAGTTTAAAATTTAAGGGATGTGGACAGCAGGAAGATGCCGCTGAAAGGCCTTTCTTTAAGCCTACCTAAGCCAAAAAAATCACTTAAAGCATTTTTCCTATCTACGATCACTAACATAATAAACCCAGCACTGCATAACAAATGTTTTTGTTAGAATCTATATTTCACTATTTATACTGCCAAAAGTTGCATCATTTCTTGTCTGCCTTCATATTGAAATGATTTAAGGCTCAGTTAATTGGAACCTGGCTTAGAGATTACTGGGCAAATAAACTATTTCTCTGATTCTCACACTACCCATATTGTAAGACAACCATTCTTTTTAATAGCTTTGGGGAGTGGAGGAGAGAACAGATGACATACCCTATCACATTAAACATGTAAAAATCCTAGTATGCATCACAATTTCAGAAAAAGTAAAAAGCATATCTTAGAATCTAAGAAATTTAGGGGCACCCGAGTGGCTCAGCAGTTGAGTATCTGACTTCAGCTCAGGTCATGATCTCACATAGCTCATGACTTCATGCCTCACGGAGAGCTCTGTGCTGATAGCTCAGAGTCTGGAGGCTGCTTCAGATCCTGTGTCTCCCTCTCTGCCCCTCTCCTGCTCGCTCGCTCACTCTCTCTCTCACACACACAAATATAAATAAACATAAAAAAATTGTTTTCTAAAGTATCTAAGAAATATAGTAATGAGACAAGGAAAACCTTTGTCTAGAAAAGTAAAGCCAATACCGTCCAGCCCAGAAACCTCACAGACCACCCAAACAGAAGTTTAAAGTAATTATTTTTATAAAGCTACAGGGAAAAAAAGCAGCCTTTGAAAAAGCAATTAGTGGCTATTAAAAAAGCAACTGGCCTGGGTAGCTCAGTAGGTTCAGTGTTCCACTTCGGCTCAGGTATGATCTCACTTGCGTGAGTTCCAGCCCTATGTCGGGTTCTGTGCTGACAGCTCAGAGCCTGGAGCCTGCTTCTGATTCTGTCTCTCTCTCTCTGCCCCTCACCCACTCACACTCTGTCTCTCTCTTTCAAAAATAAACATTAACTTTAAAAAAAAAGCAATTGGTATCATTTAACAATTTATACAAATATCAAATCATGGTATACACCTGAAACTGTTATATATATCTATTATTCCAATTTTTAAAAAAAAAAAAATGTTTCCAATCTGAGTTGACTATAAGCATTAGTGTAAAAAGAGTCACAGTTCATATTTTACTAGCTGCCCACAGATTAAAAAAAAAAAAACCACCAACTGATCTGAACAACTTTGAAGGATTAAAACTCTACAATAAAATCCACTGATATCCATTCTACAGCCAATAAATATAAACCGAGCCTTTATATCCTTAAGTGTCCTAACCTTCTTTTCTGTAGTAATATTCACTGACAAAAAGTCAACACAGCTTCGTCTGGGGAACAGCCATCTGCACGGTCCCAGAGCCTAGCACAGAACAGGGCACATAGGTCCCCAAGAAATGTTTGCTGAATGAATTGTCCTCCTTTTTCATCGTCTGTATATAATATTAGAGAAAAATCCTCAAAAGCCTTACACAAAACAGAGTTGGGAGGAAAACAGTTTATTCAAAGGGGATAATTCCGATGGCAGCTGTAGCTTGGGTATTCAACCGCACTGTCAGAGCTGAAAGGCAAATTAGCCTGCAGTGGTTATTACCAACCAGAGGGAGGTATGTCTCTACAGTCTTCAGAGCAGAGCTTTTTACAGTGTAGTCACCAGAAATACTTGTTCACCTGCAAATTTCTAGGCTCCCTATCAAGCCTACTAGATTAAGCACTTCTTGTGCTGGGTCCTAAAAATCTACATTAACACAGGAAATATTCCGTTGGAATTTTAGATCCATTAACATTAGTCAAATTCTGCTCAATTAAACACATACACCTGACGGAAATATGACCTGTAACGAGGTTGCCTCGGCTGACCTAAAATATTTTTTTTAGGTTTATTTGTTTATTTAGAGAGAGAGGGAGAGAGGGAGAGAGGGAGAGAGAGAATCGCAAGCAGGCTCCACACTGTCAGCATGGAGCCAAATGGGGGGCTTGAACCCACTAACCCTGGGATCATAAACTGGGCCAAAACCAAGAGTCAGATGCTTAACCCACTAAGCAACCCAGCCCACCCTGACCTAAAATACTCCTTTTCTGCCTAACAGAAATGTTCATCCGGAGGGAAAACTCGTTCTCCTGTTGACCTAATGCGGTGATTGGCAGTTACCCTTTTAGTCCTATTTTATTTTTTTTCAACGTTTATTTATTTTTTGGGGGACAGAGAGAGACACAGCATGAACGGGG